ACAAACAGTTAAAACACACACACAAGCCAGTAGGTCAGGACTGCGTTTGCCCTTCGGAGTACTGTATTTGCCATGAAGATTCTTTCACAAAGTGTCACGGAAAACAGATCTTCGATGGCTTTTGTACAGCTCCTGCCTGATGATTCATAAACAATTTGTACAGTAGTTGTCTATGCAATGTTATTAAAAAAAGAAACATTCAGTCAGTACTAGTGGGTTCTTTACAAAACCCTCTACCTGGAGTGGATCAGACTGCTGTGCACTGGGAGTCAGACTTACTGTAAAACCTAAAGAGACTGATGTGTACTGCTGTGCGTATAACTAATTACACTGTAAAACCTGAGTGGATCTGCGAGCTGAGCCTTGGCAGTCAGATTCTCAACAAGCTCAGCTCGCAGGACATGAGTCTCAGTATCTGGGGCCAAAGAGCTTTCCTCTCTGTTAGTTTTAATAAATTGAAGCCGCAGTGAGAAAGCTGTTATTGTCTTCAGTGTGAAATGGACACAAGAGAAACCTTGCAGCTAAAACAAAGTGAGAGGCGAAGGAGAGAGAGGGGATCGCAACGAGGGAGAGGAGCACCCTGACCATCTGACCCCTGTGGCTGTTAGTAGCTGACTCATCCCAGAAACTCCTCCAGCTGTTACTTTCAAGAGGCCCAGGGTGTCAGCTAGGCTGCCTGTTCCACACTCCTACAACCCTCTGTGTAAAGAAGAGAAGCCTCCTTTCCTCAGTGTTCACGTGTTCCTGCTTTGATAGTGAAAAGGTTCTTGACTTCCGTATCTTTGAGGATTCCGAATCATTTGATCAGGTCCCTTAGAACTTATCCATTCATGACTAAAGAGATTAACTTCATTCAGCGTATCAACGTATCGGTGACACTCCCTCCAGACTGAAGAGACTCATTTCCTCCAGCCTGTAAGTGAAGATCGTTTCTTTACATCCAGGAATTACATAGTCAATCTTCTCTGGACCGATTCTATGGCAGGAATATAATTTCTATAACATGGTGATCAAACTTAGATCAGTTCAGTTTATTGTCACATGCACAAGTGCAATGAAATGCTTATTTGCATGTAAGCTCTTTATGCCTTTCTGGTCCTATAACGGTGACAAGAGAGAAGGAGGGAGAACAGTGAGAAACCAGGATGACAGGTGTCCTGAGCGATACTTCCAGCCTTCCTGAGACAACAAGCTGTAAAACTGTCTGAAATACAGGGGGCTGTACTCCAGTGATGGACTGGGCTGAGCTGACCACCCCCTGTAACACCTTCTGGTCAGACAACGAGCTGCTGCCAAGCCACACTATAACACCACATGTGAGTCACTCTCAATAGAGCACCTGTAGAATGCAGTGAGGACAAATCTTCAATTGTCTGAGGGAGTAAAGGCGCTGTTGTGCCTTCTTTGTAGCTCCAGTTACATGCTGGGACCCCGTTAAATCACTAGTGATGAAGGTACCCAGGACCTTGAAGCTGCTCACCATCTCTACAGCCACCCCATTGATGTGTACAGGGGTGTGATCCCACCCTGCTTTCCAAAACCGATGACCAGCTCTTTGTTTTTGCGGAGGTTGAGGGAGAGATTATTGTCAAGGCACACTTCTGCAGCGTCATCAGCACATGCTTTTCTGAATAATAATAATAATATATACACTTCTATAGCGCTTTTCTGGACACTCCACTCAAAGCACTTTACAGGTAATGGGGATCCCCTCAACCACCCCCAGTGTGCAGCCTCACCTGGATGATGCGACAGCAGCCATAGTGCGCCAGAACGCTCCCCACACACCAGCTCTCAGTGAGGAGAGCAGAGATCTCACTGGAGTGTTATAAAATGTTAAGGGTACGAGCTAAACTGTAACAGACGCTTGAACTCGGCAGACGGGGTCACTGGAGGTCAAAGTCGCCGTGCGTGGTCACGTGATCACCGGGATAACAAGGCGCTGTATCTCGGGGACGGAAGCAGCACAAACGCTACTTTGAACGACATCAACCGGCACGACCGCAGCACTGACGAATAAGGTGGGTTTCATCGTTTGTGCTGTCTGCAGGGGGGGCAGCCTCACGGGCCTATCTCAGAGATGTGGAGTCGACTGATTAAAATCAGAGCAGATTCGGACAGCGGCTGTACACACTACCACCCACAAGGCGGCGCTGTTGATCCTGTTTCGGTATAAACTTTTTATCAGGCGACGCTAAAGATACAATTTATTCTTGTGATACTGTTTTTATACCGTTTGCTGTGGGAATTGCATTCATTGTATTTCACAAGCAGTGATTTTTTTGGTTTCACTATACGTCGTCCGTGCGTTCGCCGGCGGCTCCATCGATCTGATTGATTAGTTTCTCGCCCGAAACGAGGCTCTCTGTCGCTCGCGGGCGGGCGGTGACCTTTGAAACCCCGCAGCGCACGCCGGCTGCCATTTCTCTCCGCCCGGCGCCGTGTGTCGCGGCAGGAATGCTGTCCGTCCTGCGGTCCTGGCTGCCCGCTCTCCCCGGCGTGTCGTGGCTGTCGCCCGGCACCGCCACGCTAGACTCGCTGCTGCAGGGTAAGAGCCCGCCCCCCCGGGGTCCGGCCGCCGCTCACTTCCGCCTGGCCCGCGACCCACCGGCGTGTCTGTTTCCCGACAGGGCTGGTGGGCGCGTGCGGGATCTCGGTGCTGTGTAACCTGCTGCGCGTGCACGCGTTCATCAAAGGCTTCAGGTGAGTCGCCTGTCCAGAGCTGGACGCGCCTGCAGTGACCCCTGGAAGGGTCATCGCGTCTGAAGGGCCACATCGTCATCGGCTTGACCAGAGTGTGAGACTGTCCAGGGTGTGGTGCTCCAGTGTACTGAGAGCTGGACCGGAGAATCAGCAGTACTGTAAACACTGAGAGTTATTCAAGTAGCACTGCAGTGAC